AACCAACAAAGTTTCCTTCCATATATAAACTTTTCCTTGACCTTTTACAATCATGGACTGATACAATATTTGTCCTTCTGTGATTGACTTATTTCTATCAGCATAATGTCCTCCAAGTTCATCCATGATATGTGGTGTTTTGCAGATTCTATATAATTCTTTAGGGTTGCATAGTATTCTGTTGCATATAAATACCACAGTTTGTTCATCCATTCCTCAGTTGATGGGCATTTAAGTTGTTCCATCTCTGATGTTGTGAATAATGCTGTGATGAACATGGGTATGCAAATATCTATTAATTTCCTGGCTCTCACTTCTTTAGGATATATACCTAATAATAGGACTGCTGGATCAAATGGTATTTCTATTTCCAACTTTTTAAGGAATCGTCATACTGATTTCCACAGTGGTTGTATTATTTTATAGTCCCACCAGAAGTGAATGAGGATCCCAATCTCTCTACATCCTCCTGAACATTTGTTATTTTCTGCCTTGTTGAACTTAATGCTGGGGTAAGATGGCATGTCATGGTTGTTTGATTTGAATCTCTCTAATGGCTAATGATTGTGAACATTTCATCATGTGTTTGTTGGCTGCCTGAATGTCTTTTTGGTGAGGTGTCTATTCATGTCTTCTGCCCATTTCTTAATTGGGTTGTTTGTCTTTTTGATGTTGAAGTGTTGGAGTTTTCTGTAAATTTTAGAGACAAGTCCTTTGTCCAATATGTCACTGCCAAATATTTTTCCCATTCTCTAAGTTCTCTTTTTACTCATTTGGATAAGTCTTTTGATGAACATAAGAATTTAATTTTTAGAAGGTCCTAATTATCTAGTTTATCTTCTGTTATTTATGCTTCATGGGTTATGCTTGATAGTATATTTATGCAATAAATTAGGTGCATGTAATTCATTGACATTCAGTGAAATTCTCGATATTCAGTGTTTATCAACAAGTATGAAGTTATTGATGCCATTTTGTTATATGGTTTTTGTGGTGTTTCTGGTTTCTTTGTTCCATTTA